CTGAGTATGATGCTAGAGTAAAATGCATATCAAAAAGTAACATAATATTGCCGTTCTCAATATTAACCCAATTTCGAGTTCTGGTTTGCTCTGTGTTAGCCTCAAAGCCAARTAACATATTCTTTTGTTTTATATAGCCCGAGCAAACGCATGTCATTTGTGAAGAAAAACAATATAATTTATTTGAAATTTCACACTTTTATTCTCTTAATTAGGAATATTTTGCGCAGAAACGAGGCTAACACAGAGCATTGGACAATTCAAAACTGGATTATTGAAGCAAAAAGCACTGATAATATAATGATTATATCAAAAACACATTGTGCACCACAGGTGTGGCTCAGTATATGTTAATTTCCAGATTTGCAAATTGTGTTGTTTTTGGTACCCTGTGTACATGTACCTCATTGTGATGTATACTAAATGTCTTGTACATGTAGCTTAGATGTTATTAAAATGTCGTGTAGTTGTACCTGCAATTACACTCTTGTTCAATTTTGCAAAATTAAAAATCTTTTACCACTATTCTAATTACTAACCATAGAAGTCAATAAGAGTAAATGGCTTCTTGATTTGTGTGGGGCATTTATGACCATATCCTAGTACTCCATGATCTGGATACAATGGTATAAACTTGTCATCCTGAAAATTGAATATGATATGTGAACAGTCTATCTTGGGAAGAAAAGGACTGTAGAATGTGAATATCAAATATATTTCATCTTAATTMTGCAATTAGAAAACATGTGAAATTTCTCTTATGTATCAAGACATACTACAGCATACAATAACTACTAACCTGCCATAACTCTAACACATGGAACTGATTTCTATCAAAATGGAMATCTTTTGCACATTCTCTGCAAAACACCTAAAATAATTGTGTTTAAMTATAAGTATAATATCTAGCTTTATAACTTGTACTATTGCACACAGATAGTTTCARCAGCATTACGTACAGCACGACACTTTATGTGCACAATTTTGTAGCTTAAAAAAATATAACTTAAGACTTAAGCTTACGAAAAAGAAAGCTTTAAGAATTTTTACAGATGGCGCTGTCGACGAGACAATCTTGACAGCATTTGCTATTAAGCTTAAGGTTAACTTGTAAACATGTATTGAAAGTAACTATTTTGAAGCCATTTAAGAGTGTCTATAAGCTTAAATGTTGGTACAGTTTTATTCGTCTGGAGTTCTTACAAATATTAATGTAACTTAACTTGTAAACGTGAGCTTAAGTTACATGTAAGCCTACTTTTATG